ATCCAGTCATCTTTCGCTTCGGATGAAGAAGTGGAGGATGCACAGAAGGCTTTCTTCAAAGTCCCATCCAAAAGGAGAGGGCAGAAGCCGATCTGTTTTGGTAAAGTCAAACCCGAACAACTCAAACGAGCAAGTTCGGAGGAAGACGACGGAGTTCCCCAATTCCATTACCATGAACCCAATTCTAAATACTTAATGAAACGAATGGGGTATAATTTTAATGAGAAACAGGGCCTGAACTTCGGGAAAGGAAGACGAACACCGATCCAGATGTCTCTCACTCCTGAAGGAAAACCTCCGGATTATTATCAAAAAACCGGAAGGGGCGTGGGTTACGTCACACCTCCCCCCGCCTCGGAAAACGAAATCAGTAATTACTCACGTCATGACCGATCATCCGGAATATCGTCATACGAATCCGACGTCAGCGTTGGACCCTTCTTTAAAAACTTGACTGTGAACATGGTTTCAACTAGTCATCCAGATGAAGATGCAGGGGGTGACGAGGAATTATTAGAATCGACCGATGATCCTTGGATCAAGCGTCTCAATATCCTGTGGGATATGCGTTTCGAACAACGCGAACCGCCCACTGAAGATAAAGTAATCCAGGTCAACATGGGAGATGAACATGATCCTAAGCCCATATTCATAGCTGAAGACTTGTCATCATCCGAAAAAGAAGACCTTATATCTCTCATCCGAGAATATATAGATGTCTATGCTTAGAACTACGAAGATATGCCCGGCCTTGACCCGAAGGTTGCCATGCACCGTCTCAACATTGATCCGGACGCAAAACCCGTTAAATAACAACAACACAGGTTTCGTCCAGAGATCATGGAATCAATTGAGTCAGAAGTTAAAAAGCTTATAGACTCAGGTTTCGTTAGGGAAGAACAACACCCTGACTGGGTGGCCAACATTGTTCCAGTTCCCAAGAAGAACGGTAAGGTCCGGATATGCATTGATTTCCGCGATCTTAACACAGCCTGTCCAAAAGACGAGTTTCCTCTTCCTATCACCGATGTCATGATCGACAATACTTGCGGATATGAAAGGATGTCTTTTATGGATGGATTCTCCGGGTACAATCAGATCAAGATGCACCCGGACGATGAAAAACATACTGCTTTTAGAACACCACTGGGGGTGTATTGCTATACAGTGATGCCCTTCGGCCTGAAAAATGCAGGTGCGACTTATCAACGTGCAATGAACACGATTTTTCACGAACACCTACGAAAGAAGATCGAGTGCTACGTTGATGACATAGCAGTAAAAAGCCAATGCAAAGGCGATCATCTTACAGATCTGAAGACAATGTTCGAGATCATGCGAGCACATCAGCTGAAGATGAATCCGACAAAATCATTCCTCAGAGTTTCAAGTGGGAAATTCCTGGGATTTATCGTTACTTCTAAGGGAATCTCTCTTGACCCAGAAAAAGTACGTGCCATCCAAGACATGCCACCTCCTAAGAATCTCAAAGAGCTCAGAGGTTTGCAAGGCAGACTGGCCTACATTTAAAGATTCATATCTAATCTTTCAGGGCGCTGCCAACCTTTCTCTAAGCTCATGAAGAAAGGAATATCCTTTGTTTGGGATGCAGAGTGTCAAAGAGCATTCGAGGAGATTAAGAGATATCTAACTCAACCGCCAGTTCTCGTGGCCCCGATATCGGGAAAACCATTCCTGTTATATGTGAGAGCCATGGATCATTCCCTTGGAGCTTTGTTGGCCCAGAACAACGATCAGGGTCAAGAACAAGCCATCTATTACCTGAGCCGGACTATGATGGGAGCCGAACATCGGTACAATCCGGTCGAAAAAGAATGTCTCGCTTTGGTATTCGCAATTCAAAAGATGCGACATTACCTAGTTGGACAGACAATTCACGTCATCTCCAAAGTGAATCCCTTGAGAGTGCTGATGACGAAACCATCATCTCTGAATTGCCGACTTGCAAAATGGGCCATTCTCTTGTCACAGTATGACATGCAGTTCATGCCCCAAAAGGCGGTCAAGGGTCAAGCACTGGCCGACTTCTTAGCCGATCATCCAGTATCGGAAGCATCTAAGTTGTATGAAGAATTACCCGACGAAGTCGCCGAAGCTTGCGCTACTCAAGAAGCTACGCAAGTGTGGAAATTATTCTTCGACGGTGCGTCCAGAGCAAATCCTCATGGAGCAATCACCGCGGGAGTAGGAGTAGTATTAATCTCTCCGAACGGCCACATAGTCCCAAGAGGATTTTCCCTAATCGAACCCTGCACCAACAATGTAGCCGAGTATAATGCTCTGCTATTAGAAATGCAGTTTGCTGAAGAACTTAATATTCAGCACCTCGAGGCCTATGGTGATTCTCAACTCATCGTTAATCAAGTCCGAGGAGAATACGAAGTACGGCATGAAGATTTGATCCCGTATTACTTCGCAGTGCTAGAGCAAGCTCAAAAGTTCGAAGGTTTCTTCATCGAATATATACCACGAGCTCAGAATGCTTATGCAGATGCTCTAGCCTCCTTGGCAACCTCATTAGCGTTGCCACCGAAGACTGAAACAACGATTCCAGTCGCAGGACGGAAACTATACTTTTCTAAAATTCCTACAGAAGAAAACTCAGACGAGACACCGTCAGGGGAAGTCTGTACAACTTCTATGGAGTTTGAATCCAGGGATTGGCGATTCCCGTACATCGAGTATGCAGTGTATGGAATTCTGCCAGAAGATCCTAAAGAAGCGGCCTCTATCAAACGAAAGGCCCTCCGATTCTATTATGACGCAGTCTCTCAAGTCCTGTATCGTAAATCACACGATGGAGTTTTGCTTCGATGTCTCTCTCGGAAAGAAGCAAAAGAGGCCCTCAAGGAAGCTCACGGTGGAATGTGCGGAGCTCATCAGCCCGGAGCTAAGTTAGGAGATCGCCTCCGACGCATCGGCTATTATTGGGCGAAGATGTTTTCAGACGCGGTTGACTATGCTAAACGCTGTCACGCGTGCCAAATTCATGGGGACTTCATCCACCAAGCACCAGGAAACTTACACCCCACATCAGCGACTTGGCCATTCGAAATGTGGGGTATGGATATCGTCGGACCGATTTCCCCTCCGACATCCAAGGGACACCGGTTCATCCTAGCCGTAACCGACTATTTCTCCAAATGGGCGGAGGCAATCCCGTTGAAAGAAGTCAAGACTTCAAACGTAATCAAGTTCATCAAGCATCACGTTGTCTACCGTTTTGGAGTCCCGAGGCGAATAGTTCACGATAATGGGACACAATTCGTCGGCCTTGGGTTCCACAGATTCTGTGACAAATTTAGAATCCAAAGTGTCGCATCCACGGCATATTATCCACCAGCAAATGGTCTTGCAGAAGCTTTTAACAAAACCATAGTGAAACTTCTCAAAAAGTTTGTTTCTAAAAGCCGGCGTGATTGGGATGAAAGACTGGGTGAATGTCTTTGGGCTTACCGCACTACAGTAAGGACCCGGATCTTCAAGAAAGGCGATCTAGTGTTGGCCAACAGACGACCCATGGTGATGACACACAAAACCAAAGGGAAGTTCAATCCTAAATGGGAAGGGCCCTTCGTAATAGAATCAGTCTATTCGAACGGAGCATACCGCCTCATCAATCAAGAAGGAGACAGGCTCATGATGCCAATTAATGGGAAGTTTCTTAAGAGATACTTCCCGTAAATCATGTAGCCCCCTAAACCCCAACCAAATCAGGCTGGGGGTTGCCTATTCATAGTGTAATTCTATCTTGTATTTCGTCATGTTAACACTACACCTCTGACGATTGTAATTTGATGGAATTATTCTAAATAAATAATAAAGGGAATTTCGATAGCATTTGCATTATTTTCTATTGTCTTGAACCAGATTTCAATAAAAAGAGACGATAAAGAGCAAAAGTGGATATCGTTTTCATTCAATGTTGTTAATCTAAACACAAAATGATGACAAACAAAATGAAAACAATACAAAATTCCTTAATCCAGAACAGGTCAAGAGCTAAACATCAGGCTTCATTAACTTGAGGGTTTTTAGCCTAGACTTGAAGGCAGAGAGTTTCTCTCAGTGGGCCGCTCGGACTTGTCCCTCGATCTCCTTTCTGAGTTCTGCTTCAATAGGAAGGGTAGCAACAATGCCCTTACGAGTCTGCTCAGCTGCGTGGAGTGTACGGCAAAATTTCGTATAAATTTGGCCACTTTTATGCTCAAGCTCTTTCCTGACATCCTCATAGTGGGCCAATTGGGCTTTCTTCTGGTCCAACTCGGCTTCTAATCGAGCGATAGTCTCTTCGATACCGCGGATATCAGAAGCAACACGTTTGATTTTAGCATATGCTTTAGAGTGTCGCTTCCTTAAAGCTGATATGCGGGCCTTTTTATCAGACAGGTCCTTGCGAAGAGCCCCTGGGTGATGCGCCCTCGAGATTATCGCCAAGGAAAGAGCCGGCTCTACTTTAGAATCTAAATTGGTGCGCTGTAGCTCCCTGAAAGCTACTAATTCTATCATCAAAAGAGTGATTCCCCCTTGGCAGTGTTCAGTCCAGGATGCATCCCCTTTAGCTTTGATGTCGTCCAAACATTGATTCAAGATGGATTCACAATCTTCAAGAGAAGCCCCCTCAACACTGACCATATTAATAATTGTTTGCATCTAACGTTCCAGTTCATCAATTGATTTCTTCAGAGCCCTTGAGCGTGGAGGAGGAAGAGTTGGATAGATTGGATCCGTATGATCATCCTGAACAAGTGTTGGAGCAACTTCAGAAGAAGGGCCCTCTCCAGCCCTATCGTCCTCAGGAACCGAGGGGATCGATTGGGGCATTTCGTCCTCTCCGTCAGTAAAACGCTCAACGAGCGCAGACTTCATCGCATCCCCCATTAATTTGGCCCTCTTGGAATTCTTGGCCATGACAGGTATCCGCTTACGAATTCTCCTGTCATACTCACCTTGCTCAGCAGCAGAAAGAGCCTTCTTACCCGATCTTAAAGAACGAGGTTTAGGAGCAGGCTCTTCTGCAGGAATCTCCTCAGTTGTCTTATCTTCGGGAGAATCGGCAATTGGTTTTCCCTTTTCGATCCCCATAGGAACCTCTCCTTCAGAAGGTTCTATGGTGGGCAAGTTTTGAGGAGCTTCAACGGCTCCGATCTCTTCCTGTTCACAAGATAGGTACTCTTCCATCCCTGGCAGACGAGTACTCGCAGAACCACTCCGTGAACGGTACAATTCCCGAATCTCGTTTATACATGAAGTATAAACGTCATATTTCGGAATCCGAGAAGCTTCAACAAACCACTGGCGGAAATCCATAACAGTAGAGCAGCCGGGTGGTGAATGGGGTAAAGTGAATTGCGCATGGGTTCCTCCGGCGGAGAAGAAGTACCATGCGCGAGCTCCTTCGTACAAATTCCCAATCTGAGCTAGCGCCGGGTTAGGATTGCCAACATAGAGTTGGTCGTATCCAAACTGTCTAGCGAACCGAGAAGGCATGTAAGGCTCAATTACGCACTTCTCCCGCGAGCGATAGACCAGGTAGCCCAACCTGATCATGAGAAGCCAGCTGAATGTACCCTCTTCCAAAGAAGATGAGCCTTCAAAAAGCAAGTCTATGAAACGGGCATCCTCCACATCAGCTCCGTCAAAGTTAGGAGCACAGCAGAAAACCCGGTAATTATCTTCCCGGGATAGAAGCTGTCGAGCCCTTACTATATAGGAACTAGTCCACGTGGCCGACTCCAGTCTCTGTACGAAGGGAGTATAAGCATCACCCCCCTCAGGCGCCCCTGTCATCAAAGAAGGGCAATGCAACACGAACCAGGCCACTAAATATGTATATGGCATTGGTACACGTGGTTGAGGAGCCTTCCCAGCTTTCTTCTTAGTAGCTTTGACTCCCGAAGCACTGAGAAGTTCTGAAGTCAATACCCTCAGGCCGTTCTGGATACAGCCAACCATAGCAGTAAGGAGACTCACAGGTCTACCATGCGCTAGCAAAACAGCTGGGTATACGACCTCAGCTAATATCGCCTCTATCGGTCTTGACGGTACTACGCACCGCTTCAACCAAATCATGAAGAAGCCTGCAAGTAGAGCCGTGTCAGAGATAGGAACGTGGCTTGGTAGTGGAAACTTTCAAATTCGACACCAGCTTCAAAATCATCCTCGGCATGCTCTGTCTTATAAGTAGCACCAGGAGCCTTAATCCGAGCCTTGACGTCCTTAAGTGAAACAACTGCTACATCTTTCCGGTTTAAGTTTTGAAAGAGGTAGTCTGCCCATGTGGTATGCATAATGCCCCCTCCACGCATCCCAAAGACTTGGGCACATATGTGGAAGTGGCACATCAATTCCCAGAAAGTAGCGTAAATTTCCGGGTACACCACCTTCAGTAAGGAAAGCTCCTCCGTGGTAGGGATAAACTCCTCGTAGGGCATTTTTCCAAGCGACAGCTCCGACACTGCCTGCATCTCATGAAGAGCAAAACCTAACTCTCCAGTAGGCGTGAAGAATGTGCAGCTGTCAGGGTTATATTTCTCCAACATAGCGAAGAAATTATGAAGACTCTGCACGACTCCCCGTCGTGTAGCTAACACAGGAACTGTGAGACCCGATTGAGCGAGCGAGTCCTTAAGCTCTTCAAGAACAAAGTCAACCATTCGGGTCCACCAACCTCCTTCTCCGGAACAGATCCATCCAGG